ATTTACCTTCAATCAAGCTTTGTTGGCTGGAAGGCACAAGGCAAGCATTAAGTGCCTAATCTTACTCTCTCCTCAAATTACACAGAATGAGAACTTGACACCTTGATAAGAAAGCCCTGACATCCACCCACCCTAAAACAACTATAAAGCAAGAATGGGACTAGCAAACCTTCTACCCACTGCTTACCTCTTCCCATCACTATCCAAAAGAAAACTGCTATCTCTGATCTGAATATGCCACAAGGATTCAGAAGTAGCCACCTTGAGAACCATGATGTTTATAGAATCTACATGAATGGAGAATAGCTGAAAAAAAGATGCAAAATTGAACAGTAATTAACATCAAGGCAACGTCCTTCCTTTTCCAATGGAAAAAGAATAAGAGGCAGCTCTTAGTATTATGCCTCAAATACAGTAAAAAAAAAAGTCCACCCATGACTCCACAACCAGCCATTCCTACTTCAGTCCAGGAAAGTGGGAAAGTAGTCTCACCTGGCAGAAGATCTTCAATAAGGATGGGCTGAAGGACAGCTCCTTTTGGTGCACCCCAGTACTCTGGGAGAATGGGGCAAACAGGCCAGAAACCCTCTGTAGGTCTGTTCTGATACGTACTTCGCCAAAGCACAAGGCCACATAGTGTCTGCCCAGAAGAGAAATCTCACTGCCATCAGGTCCATCCCTTCCATAGCAGTCTCTTCCCCTCCCTCACATTCACTTTCCCATCCTCCCTAAAAATGTAGCTCAAATCATGGAAGATAGTCTCATAGCAGTTGTCAATATCCGTCCCACAAAACAATAGCTTCAAGGCTAATCCAGAGACATCAGCAAGAACCCACTTCCCTCCTTGGGCTGTGAGGCCTCTGTAAAAGAATCTCATTTTGCAAACCACAACCCCAAACTATTCCCCAGGAGAAGAGTGAGGTGACAGGGTACTCACGGCAGATCATGGCTAAGGAGTTTGCTGGAAATCCACAGGCTATCAATTTCCTAAAACAGTGTGGGAAGAAGCTTTGTACACTAGCTGCTAGGCAAGCCAAGAGCAGCGTGACAAGATAGGAAGGGGTCTAAGAAGAGGAGGACGTGCTATAGCCCTTCCACTAAATATTCTCCATCCCATTTCCACCAGCTTCTCTCCTCGGCACTATATCCTGTTCCTCTAATGACATTGATTGAACTTGTTTAGTGTTTCTCTTTTATGGATATGTTGCCCTGTTTCCCCTCTTACATTAGAACAGTAAGCTCTTCTACTTTCTGTTATCTTTGTTCTGTGCTTTACTTCTGTATCTTTCTTACATGCTCTGGACACCCTGTGCCTTATAAGCATTTATAAAAGAACAACTTGCATCAATTCCAGTGTTCCCAAACTAGCTCTAAAATCATCTTGGCAAAGGGATGGCAAGGCCGGGGTTAACTAGGAAAGCCACCAGAATATTTAAAAAAAGGAAATTAAAAGTTGAAATTCAGTTGGATCAACTCCACATACATTCCCAGGAAGTTTCCTAGGACTCACCACTGTTTGCTGGTGCTGCTGAAACTTAAGACTGACATTTTGAATCCAAAAAAAGGAGCCAATCTTTAGTTCTGCCTGCAGCTTCCTCTGACACCACTTGGTGGCCAACCGGACCACAAGCCACCTGCAGAAAAATCCTTGTGAGTTCATAGGACCCTCTCCCAATTATTGCCTCCCTCATCCCCTGCGGGTCCTAGAAGGCCTTGCAAAGGGACATGAACTGGAGGTGGATCTTCTTGGCAACCCTCCTGTCTCCCAAAACACCACTCTGTCACATACATTCAGCCATGCTGATCAGGACCCTAGCCCCAGAGTGTCCCCTCCACCCAGATGAAACGAGACGAACTAAACTCCACTGTTTAAGTTGGAGACAAAAGAAAACAATCCCTCAAATGCTCAGGAACCCCAGAGGTAGACTGAAGAAGCCCCAACAGGAGTCGAAGTACAGGCATCCGTGCCAGATGTGCCATCACATAACCCGCAAAAGGTCTCCTTCTCCGCCCTCCAGACAGGTGTCTGCGGGAAGGCAGTGCGGGCTCACAGCAGCCCGGCTCAAATGCCGCTCTCCCTGGGCAGCCAAACCTGTTCCGGCTCCCCAGGGCGAGGCTGCAGGTGCCCTTCGCGCTCGGGGAAGGGGACGTTCAGGGGCATGTGGATGGGGAAAGAAAAACCAGCCAGCCGGGCCCCCCCCCATTCACACCCCTATCCTCTCCCCAATCTCAGCATCTTCTCAGGCCTCGCCCGCTTGCTCAGTCTCCCCCCACTCTCGGTTCCTCCGCGCCAGCTCCGGTCCTATGCCCCGGCTCGACCCCTCCCCGCGTTGCGCACCCCCTC